TGATTTGACTGACTGAATGGTGGTAATAATATCTTCCATGCATATCTCGGGTATTTGCGTTGAGTCATTTCTGTTTCATGTGTTGAGTGTAGACTCAATGAACCAGGAATCAGTAATCAATCTCTCCACCTACCTAGATTACTTCTTAGAATCTTAACCCTCTCCACCACCCTATTGTGTGGTTGTTTGTTAATGTGTGAAGTGCAATTGCTGAGCTTTCTTTCTAAATTACTTATCTTTTCAGGGTCAACCATTCTGCTCTTAGTAGGAATTAGGGTGGCATTCAAACCTACAAACTCAGGTAGGACAAGCTCTGTAGGGAGGCTAAAGGACCCTGTCGGTTGACCCAATTAAACAAAATAATATAATTTACAAAATACCCTGCAATGACTGTGTGGTCAACTACATAGGTCAAACTAGTAGGTCATGGGTAGTGAGATTATCAGAACATAAGAATTTAGCTAAGGGAAGGATGGTTGACCCCGAGAAGATAAGTAATTTAGAAAAAAGCTCAGCAATTGCACTACATTGCACTTCATGCATTAAGAAACAACCACACAATAGGGTGGTTGGAGAGGGTCAAGATTCTAAGAAGTAATATAGGTAGGTGGAGAGAGAGGTTGATTACGGAATCCTTATTCATCGAGTCTACACCCAACACGTGCAACAGAAGTGACTCGATGCAAATACTAGAGATATGCATAGAAGATATTATTACCGCCGGTCAAGTCAGAAGAGAATAATAAATAATCTTAATATTCTATTTCAATTCAAGTGCATCACAACATCCTAACAAGTTACTTATTATGACTATAAAACACTCGTCGTATTTCCCATCTAATTGTAATGGATCAATAACACTCGTAGTATTATTTCTGAATGTACATTATCCTATACTTATTTTTTACTCAAATGCCTAATCCTCGATTCCACACATGTATATAAATGAAGGGATATCATTTTGAGTGGCAATAGTTTGTGCTCGAAACGTCATCAGTTAATGTAACTGTACAACACTGTGTGATTTATCAAAATAAAAACGGGCGATGTTATCCACTGAATGACATAGAATGGATGAGGTTGGAAAAGAGTTAGCTAGTGGCGGTGGTGGTGTTGATGGTCAAACTAAAACATGGCTTCATCAGTTATCCAAATCCAGCTAGCCAGTGACGTCGAGGGGTGTAGACTGACTGACTGGTTGGGGCCTTTCAGGATGGTAGGAACCAATGATGAAGGCTGTTGTTGGTGATGGCTGGCGCTGATGGAGATTCATTCACTCTTATCGAATAAAAATCTGTTGTTCTTCCTCAGTACTATTCTTTTTTCCCCACTCATAGTTCTGTTTTATTTTATTTCTCTCTGCTTTGAATCTATTTACTCTCTTCTCGTGGTTTGTGTGGTAGATAGAGTAGATGGAGTATGGCAACTGGAAGTGATGCATATCTGTGCATAGTTCTACGCTGAAACCAGTCAGTCAGTCAAATAATATGAGCAACCATGGTGCCAACTAAAGAGGACAGCAGAAAATAGGAAAAAGTGGAGACGTTGTGTTAAAGTTCTGTGTTCTACTGGGAACCCAAAGGGGTGGATGGGTGGGCGAAATAGCAACATATCTTTAGAGGTTTAATTTCTCTTTGAAAGCGTCCATCATTGGAAATCATATTACGATTATTTTTACATCGAATAAGGAGTTCCAGTCCGTGATCACTCTATATGGAGTTCGTTCAATCACGGTTTGAGCGCACCTTTTTGTGTGATCACCTCTCAAGTGGTTATCGTAGAAGGAGAGTTATAAAAGTTACCTTTTCCTCCTTTGGTATGAAGTTCAAATGTTCCATCCTCTCTTATTAAGAAAGGTGGAAGATATCGCTGGCTAATGTAATTCTTGCCCCTTTATACTCCTCCTAAAACTCGACTCCTTGTTAGAGCATGGATTAGTTGCTTGTATGTAGTGTTCTAAGTGAGGCCTGATATGTTGCGTAGATTGCTTTCAACATAGACTCATCTAAGTGTTTGAAAGCCCTTTCGAAGTGCTTATAGCAGCCTTTGAAAAGCCTTAGCTGCATCTGCATTATAATATGCAGTTGTTTTCAAATCATGGTTAGTAATAAATAGTCCCTTAACATCAGGCAGTTCTGTATTCCCAGCGGAATGTAACGTTAAAGGACGTCTGAACTCCCGCTTTTTTTTCAGGAATTAATTTCCAAACTGCAAAGGTAAAACCATTCAGTTTGATTTTGTCACTATGTACATTTTTCTAGATTTTAATATTGTCCGCAATTAAGTAATTATAGGATAAGGTAAGAGTTGTCGATAGTTCGTGTATGGATAATAGGAATAACAAGGGGCGCTGATGATAGTACACCACTAACCTGTACCTTTTGCTGTCTAACCAGTAAGTATTTAGGAAACTAAATCAAACACATAGGCATTGTTCTAATCGATAGATACCCTGTTAGTTTTCAATGGAGGCTTAAATGAGGCATCTTATCGGCTACTTTCCTCTTAGGTCCAAAAATATATTGTTGGTCTTTGTCTCTGACTTCTCTAACCAATTTTTCCCTGGGTAACAACAGTAAGTTTGTGAACTAGAGTTGTCCTCGTGGGAATCTATGCTCATGTGTTTCTCTACATTATTAGCTCATAGTTCCTTCCTTGTGATTGTTTCTAATACATTTGCTGTGATATATGTTAGCCTTACAGGCCAATAGTTACATACCGATTAGCTGGTCACCGATTATTATGATATTTCAAATCTTCTTGCAGCTCATATTGTACAGATTAGAGAGAATTCACTTTACTAACCGTTTTCGACATTTTTCTCCCTTTCCGTTCTCATTGGAACATAGGGAACATGGGGTTGTTAGCCTCACGCCCGCAACCTTTCCTGTCTACCAGCTTTATTTCCTCCCTAGGTAAGGTAAAGGAAGTGTGTCGGTCGGTGACCTAACTCCGGGACATTTGCTTGGTTGGCCTAGCTGATTGACTGACTGGTTTTAGTCTAGAACCTTGCACGGATGTGCAGCAGTTCAAGTTGCCACACTCCCTCCATCTACCACACCAAGCAAGAGAAAACAGTAGACGGATGCAAAAGAGAAGCAGAGAGATAGTAAACGGAAGTGTGTGAGTAAGGCAAAAGGAATGGGAGTGATACTGATGAAGCCATGCTTTTGTTTGACCATCAACACCACCACCACCACTACTAGCTAACTCTTTTCCAACCTCATCATCTTATGTCTCAGCCAATGGCTAACATCGCCCGTTGTCGAGGAAGGCGATGGCTAGGCAGGCATGCGCGACACATCTTCTAACCTTGTCAACAGATGATTGATTTCCCCTCTTCCTCCTCCTAATCCCCCTTACCTAGCACTCGACCGAATCCTAACCTCAATACTGCTCACCCTATTACATCTACCACCTGACCCTGACACGGGAGGGAGATAGAACGTAAGTACCTATGATCAAACACAGCTAGCTAGCTAACCTTTAATCGTCTTGCACTTTTAATGGCCATGTCTCACCGCCGGTCAGCCAGCCTTAAAGCAGGACGGAGCTGAGGACTGCTGAGCAGTACACACGCCCTTTGGTCGACAGTGTCAGCTAGATATCAGTCTACTCCTGTCTATCTTTAAGCTAGCAGTGAATAAATGTAGTTCAGTAGTCATGTAGCATGCATCAGGTTACATTTGACGACAGCAGGAGCCAATCGCATGCATGCCAAACATTCGAAGATTACTGCTCAGCTCAAGGTGTTGAGAAGACCGTGTCTGCAGTATGTCAGCGTCTTCACCTAGAAGGAATATACCATCATCATCATCATCATCTGCATATTCTAAGTCAACGGGACTATTATTCCCTAGCGGTAACAAGTCAATTCCCTGAGTCGTTTATGAACCGCTATCCACATTTCTGTTTAATTTCATCATATAGATGCATGTACTGATGGACTTTATTAACCCTAACCTCAGCGACTTTGTGGTTGGCTAGCTAGCGTTCTACAACTGATGCCATTTTACAGCATTAGCAGCTTATACTTATAATTTTTAATCTCATATTGAATAATAGAGAGATGCATGATTGTTCTAATAGGTTTGTTTAACTTTTCTCTGCTGGATATGGTGATATATATACTTATATATATTATTGTTCCCTTGGGTTCCTAGTGGAACATAGGGCTTCAACTGCACGCCTCCACTCGCTTCTGTCTTCTGCTGTACTTTTCACCTGCATCCATGTTAGTCCATACTGTTTCAACTCCTCTTCACACGATCTCCTCCATGTCACCCTTGCACTGACGTCCCACTACTCGCTTCTTCCCTTTCGGGTTCCACTCGAACGATGGCCTGACTCGCGATGTCACCGGCAGCGGCCTCCTCAGCTAGTGTTCAATCCATCTCCACTTTCTCCTACATGTTTGTTGAGCGATTGGTTCTTGTTCTTTCCGGCCATCTGATCTTCAGTATAGAGCGAAGACAGTTGTTGTTGTTGATAGAGGTCTGCAACAGGCTGTTGGAAATATTCTTTGTGACCCGCCGCCAAGTTTCTGATCCATCCGTATAGAAAAACTGACTGACTTGACGTTTGTATTGAAAATCGGAATCATTTTGTTGTTGAGTGTTGCTGAGTGACGAAGATTTCCAGATTGGTTTCAGGTTGATGAATGTGTTTCTCGCCTTCCCGATTCTCGATTTGACATCTTCGTCCGTTCCTCCTGTGTAGTTGAGACAATGCTCCCTAGCTGGATAAGTGAATGAAGTAACCTCTTTCAAATCCTTCCCATTGATGGTGATTGGCGCTGGATGTTGCTGTTGTTGTTGGTTGGTTGGTTATTTTCATAACCTCCGTCTTGTCTAATATATGTATATATATATATATATATATATATTCTATATTAAATTTCTCTTTCCTTTTTTATAGATTATATACTCTGTCAAGTACTTCTAAGAGTCTATTGTGAATAACTTCCATATATATATATATATATATATATATATATATATATGGGTCGACGTCGAAGTACCAATAAACCACCACCGAAACGAAAGCCTATAGTACCACTGGATAAAGTCTTCAACTGTCCATTTTGTAATCATGGTCGGTCATGTGAAGTTGTTTTGTAAGTCGTCTTTCCTTCTATCACATTATTTATTTATTTGTTTACCTATTGAACTTACAGACGTCGTGATAATTGTGTTGGATATATCAAGTGTACTATATGCTTGGAAGACTTTCAAACAAAAATAAA